GAATCGACTTGAAATACTCGTAAACTCCTTCACACGCTCAAGAAACTAATTCCACTGCCAGTACATTGAGAGACTACTAAATTTTACACAATAATCTGGGTACAACACGTATCAACTGAACCCCCAATATTAGTTAAGCTCCGCAAGTTACAGTATTGATGAACTAGTTACAGTTTGTTAACCTAAAGTGAGAGGTGGTACCCAGGGCAACCTTGAACCCTGGAGGTTACCAACACCAGCCAGGACAAGAGGTTTTGGTGTGGCCGAGGCGTGAGGAATTGTCACGAAGCCTGTGTAGGGCGGTGGTTGTGGGGACGGGTGGCTGCTGGCGGGCCGACGCCCTGGTGCTGGCCGGCGTCCTGGTGCTGGCCGGCGTCCTGGTGCTGGCCGGCGTCCTGGTGCTGGCCGGCGTCCTGGTGCTGGCCGGCGTCCTGGTGCTGGCCGGCGTCCTGGTGCTGGCCGGCGTCCTGGTGCTGGCCGGCGCCCAGGTGCTGGCCGGCATAGATTTATTTATAATGCTGACTTAAAAAAATACAAAACTAAGAAATTGTAGGAGACATTATACCAAGCCTAACAATGAACACCTTTGTGTTGATCCTGGTGAGCAGAGGAAGAACGTAACACAGTATTACTTAGAACCAGTGATCATAGCAGTCTACATGCAGGAATACATAACTTTTGTGTCAACGTTTGTGCAGAAACTATCCCAATCAACTGATTACACCTTTATCATTACTAAGGTCCGTTATCAATATTTAACAAGTTTACCACATCATAAATTTAGTCTTTTTGCACAGTCTTTTATAATTGGCAGAAATTGTAAAGCTAATTCTGTGTATTAGGAACCTCCTTTATAAAAAAAGATCAAGAAAGCTTAATTTAGATTTTGTAAAAAAGCAGAGTAATATGGGTAAGGAAGGGGGCATGACCGAAGTACAGTATGTAAAGGCATGAAAGCGTATAACAAAAGAGTTATAAGTAGGGTGCTAATTATACGAGTACATTATAGAACACGAATATACACAGAGAAATCTCATTATCGTGATATATCACCGAGAAAATCCACAGGAGTCGTGATGAGGATTTGAACCTATGCCCTGAACACGAATATGAGTTTGGAAGTAGGGTGGTGGATCTGTAAAACAGTTTGCCGGTCGCTGGATGGTTCCAAGTGTTGAGGAGACATGCTAACATGTGTGAGTGGATTGATTGATTGATTGATAAAGATTAAGCCACCCAAGAGGTGGCACGGGCATGAATAGCCCGTAACGTGTGTGAGTGGGGTGTAGGTGGTTGTAAATAGGGAACTGCCTCGCACCCCCGTCCTCCTCCTTCCAAGTAAACCCTCTTCCGTTTCTCTTATTCTTGTTAATTGTTCACAAAGCTCATGTAACAGCGCGAAAGTCAAAATATATAGTTTTGTCTATCAAGAAGACATCTCTCTGACGATATTTCCTTAATAATATTAGTTTTCCCTGAAAGGATTGTCTCTACGTCTAATATGTTGTTAACGTAAACGTTATAAACGTTTCGGGAGCTAACATGACGTTTCTAGAGAGAATTTGAGTGTGACGGCGACGAGCATTTTCCGAGTGTAGGTCTACCAGTTCAGGTATGTTTATTGAGACAAGAAAAAATACATCTCAAAGGGATAGAGTAGCTTAGGCTGGCGATGAGCCACAATCGACTTGAGAATGGTCCAGGACGGACCGAAACGTCGTCGTCCCTTCACCTTCTAGTGTGTGGTCTGGTCAAAGTAGCTTAGGCTATTTCTACTATCGCTTCCGGAACGAATAGACCTGTATGCGCACCGGATGCACTCAGTTATAAAACAATTGAATGTGGTGCTATCGTCACGCGAACGTTTCTTTTCAAACTAAAACAAGTTGGTCAAAATTCTGAATTTAATATTTTTCAACTAAATTTTGGCGACAATTTGTGATTAGTCTGAGGGTAGAATTAGCTCTCATGAACGAATGTGACTGGCTATATTTGGAGTAGCTGTTGTTGTTGTTATAGATTCAGCTACTCTGAACAAGTTCCAAGCAGCACAGGCTATGGCGAGCCCGTAACTTACCTGGCACAGGAGCGGGGCAAGTAGCACAGGCTATGGTGAGCCTCTGGCTGGAGTAGCTGTAAATGGCAGATCAAAGTGTTTAATCTCATGTGGGCTAACGTTTTGGGAACGGCTATAGATGGGAATATAGTTCTTAAAATGTTCTTCTAAGTACATTTTTTGGGGGTGGGGGGAGAGGGGCAGTTCAATAATTGAGACCAACATTGTGAAACGGTTGAAATGGACTCAGATAAGCGTGTGTGTCACAAGCGCTGTTCGAGTTGGGTCAGGTGTAAATCTAACGTTTCTCTAACGATGTTTATGTGTAATCAACGTTTTTAGGACGATGTTTGCGTGTAATCAACATTTCTGGAGTGTAGGTGGGGGCAGGTGGCTGATGGCAGGAATTTAAAGCTGACCCTACCGGGCAGGAGGTGGTTGCCATGGTGATTGTCATGGCGTTGCAGTCGATGCGCATTTTGTTTACCGCGCTGATTCGTCCGAAACAAGCCTTTTTTTTTGTTTAGAACGTTGCTATGGATAATTACGAAAGCACAGGCGTACACTCCTGAATTATTGTATTTCTTTAATATTTCACCATCCATATATTTATTAAAGTGATTATGCACTAAAACACAGCACACACATATACTGTATAACACTTGCACACACATGCAAGCACATTTGTAGATATGATAGAGCCCAGTAGGCTCAGGAATCCACACCAGTTGATTGACAGTTGAGAGGCGGGACCAAAGAGCCAAAGCTCGACCCCCGCAAGCACATTTGTAGATATGATAGAGCCCAGTAGGCTCAGGAATCTGTACACCAGTTGATTGACAGTTGAGAGGCGGGACCAAAGAGCCAAAGCTCGACCCCCGCAAGCACATTTAGGTGAATACATACAACACATGCACAAGCACATGCACACAAAAATGCATACAAACATAAAACAGTTTTGAGAATAACTAGTACAGATTTTTTTAATGTGACATGAAGAGTTGGGTATTGGACCCAGTAGTCTGAGGCTCACTAATAATATGCTCTTCACTACTCCCTGACAAAAGTGTCTTAAGGAAGAAACGCTATACTTGGTGCAAGGCAGATAAAGCAAACCAAGATGAGATTTACCAGCTTGTCAGTTTTTCAAACTATTTTTACCATTTACTGTAGTGGTCCAAGGCGTACACTTCCTCCAAGGAGTGCCAGACCAACTAGGCTGTGGTGGGTATGTGGGCCTGCGGGCCACTCCAAGCAACAGCCTGGTGGACCAAACTCTCACAAGTCAAGCCTGGCCTCGGGCCGGGCTTAGGGAGTAGAAGAACTCCCAGAACTCCATCAAGCAGGTATATGTGGGCCTGCGGGCCCCTCCAAGCAACAGCCTGTTGGACCAAACTCTCACAAGTCAAGCCTGGCCTTGGGCCTGCAGGCTGCTCCAAGCAACAGCCTGTTGGACCCCAAACTCTCACAAGTCATGCCACTTAGTGGCATGTCGTTTCACTTTTTCCAGTTTGTTAATGTGCTTCTTAAGATATGGGCACCACGCATGTGGTGTGCGTGTTGTGTAGGTCAGTGGCCAACCATGAATAAAGTCAAGAAAAGAGCTACTAGTAGTTGCTAAATTCCAGCAGTCGTGCTCAGTTGTGGTTTATTGACAAAATGTAGTAGGCATACAGATTTATGATCAGCAATGCAGTTAATCAGGAGCACTTTCCTTGGTCAGGGATCACACAAGTTGTGAGTACACGTAGCCATGAAGTGGCATGCTTGTAACTTGTAATACCAGGCACCAGGATTCATCAACCATTTATGTATCCACTTGTGAAACCTGTTCACCTTTTTTTCAGTGATCGTGGCTTAGTTTGCTTTCATTAAAAAATGATGAGGTACCATGCCATTAAAAAATGATGAGGTACCATGTCATTTATAACAATAATAACGTTGGTTTGAGAACGACCTTGAAATGTTGCCAACTTGTAAACTGCTTAACAAATACAGAATAATCCACCATGATCAAGGTGGATGCATATATATTTGATGAATCCTCTAGAGTGGAATACTGTTGCACAATGACAGCCCCTTTCAATGCTGGAGAAATTGCTGACCAGGAGAGCGTGTAGAGATCCTTTATTACTAGATTCCACTCAGTAAAACATCTAAACTATTGGGACCAACTAAAGAGACTAAATCTATTTTTTTGAACGCAGGCGGGAGAGATACATAATAATTTAATCATGGAAAATAGTAGAGAGGGCTGTTCCCAACCCTGCACACAGAAATAACATCACATGAAACCAGAAGGCATGGCAGGATGTGCAGAATACCCCCGTTGAAAAGCAGAGGTGCAATAGGTTCTCTGAGAGAGAACTCTATCAACATCAGAGGCCTGAGACTATTCAACACACTTGCAAAACACATAGGGGCATAACTGGCTGACCCCCTCACAGTGTTGAAGAGAGATCTTGACAAACACCTCCAAAGGATTCCTGATCAACCAGGCTGTGATTCATGCATCAGGCTGAGAGCAGCCACGTCCAACAGCTCGGTTCGCCAGTCCAGTAACGAGGAGATCTGGTTGACAACCGGGCCACCGAGTCACTGAGCCCCGAAATCATCTCAAGGTAACCTCAAGGTATCCTATCCCAGGGCTGGCCAACTACAAAGAGTGGGGCTGTGGATGCCTCAACTTGGCTTGGCCCATGGCATTGGAGGTTATTCAGAGTTGGATTAGGGCTTGGTTATTTTAGGAAAGCAGCGAGTTAGCATAAATGGAGTTAAATCCAAGTGGGAGACAGTTTTAAGTGGAGGGCTTCAGGGTTCTGTTCTGGGACCTCTATTGTGTGTCTGTGTGTATACCAATATAATATACCAATATATTATTTACGTACCAGTATTGTAGTGTATGGTCTAAGTGTTTACTTATGTTTTCATCCCCTGACAACAGGCATGCGGTAGTGTCGAGGATGAACCTGCGTTACCGTGTGAGTCGTGGCCAAAGCAGCAGCCCTGTTAGCAGCAGTAGCAGCAACAGCGGTGGTGGTGGCGGCGGCGGAGGAGGCAGCAACAGCTCTAGGAACCACCACCGCCGCACGCCCCTCTCTCCCGCTTCTCCACATCCTCTGTCTCCAACACTTTTGCTTAAGTCTCCAGTGAGAGCTCCAAGAGCTCATAGGGCAGTCAAGAGATCTGGTGATGTCTTTGAGGTGAGAGTGAGAGTAAAAGTTCAGAGTAATGGGCTTCTGGTAATTAAAGATAAGTAGGGGATACCTTATAGTTTTGATATGTTATCTATGCTACAATTGTACAGACCCATAGCCTTGGAGAAGAGAATAAAGGGTATTCAGAGAAGACCTTGCAAATTCTCCCTGAACACTTCAGCATTTTCTTATCCTCCCTCTCCTTTTTCTTTATACAATATGGTTTATTTATTTGATTTATTTTATTACATTGTGTTACAGATTACAGAAAATACACACACTCACAGCAATCACTTTTCAAAGACCTCATCCAGTTCTTCAGATATGAGGGTATCTGACATGAGGAAATGCCTAAGATACAGCAAGCATTTCTCTCTGGACTGCGACACTTGAACAGGAAACTAGCCGCTATTAAGTATCTAGTTTGCCTATGAGTTCCTCAGCATTAAAGTACACATCAGTATTCAAGAGCTTTTGAATAATCATTTAAATTCTTCACATATTTTACTGCAGATTATTGGGTGAGGTGGTTGTAATGTTTATTTTATGTTTATGTTCAGAAAAATGACTATGATTTTAAATAATTTTCTTCTTTTGTTTAAACAGGAGCAGAATGAAAACTTGTTGTTGTCACCTGCACAGTACAACAGTGTGGTGAACGTGTCCGTCCCGCATCACCACACTACTCCTCTTCTACGTGCACGACGTTACGCTAGCAAGTTCTCCAAGTGCAAATCTAGCCCTCCAACAACTGTTATTGACTCTCAGAACAATATTATTGCAACAAAATTGCTCAAACCACGCCCTCTAAGAATCAGCAAGTAAGTGATAAAGTGCCTTCCTTCCTTTAGTTTCTTTCTGAGTTAACCACCTTGCTTGTTTCCTGGGCCATATACCCAGGAAATGAGGGCAATAGTCTAGAAGAGTTCATATACTGAGTGCTCAGTGTGCTTTTAGACAAAGTAGAAAATCAAACCTCTCATTGTGCCTTGCAAGCCAAACCTTGGAATCGAAAGGAAAACCAATTACTGTACTGCTCTGCTAACTATTGTATATAGCACTTTCTAATTTATGTAAATGACTTACTTGTGTAGAGTGAGCTTGTATATGTCAATGTTTGCAGATGATCAAAGTTAATGAGGAGAGTAATGCCTGAGGAGGACTGCAGATAAGAGACCTATAGGTAGCTATACCATAAGAGACGGGCAACCTCAAGAAATAACAGAAAAAGACCTGGGATTGGATATAATTCCAATACTTATTCTAGAGGTTCATGTAAACAGGATAATGTCAGCAGTATATGGGTAGTTACCAGACATCATAATAGCATTTAAGAATCTAAAGGGGCTTTCAATGCCATATACACTATATACACTATGAGAACGTTACTGAAGTATACTGCGCCATCATAGAACCTGCACCGTGTGAAGCATTAAAGGAAACTTAGGAAAGTTCAGAGGGTTTCAATGCAGGCAGCCTCTTTAAATTGCAAGGAGTTAAGACAAGGTGACGTTGGTGAAAGTTTGATATACAAATGAATCATAGGGAATTCCTGTAAAGTATGTGTGATCAATAAGTAGAATGCATTGAAGGAAGAAGCTGTCAAAGCCACTTCTGTCTTAAATTTTAAGAAAATACATGATGGAAACATATTCATCAAAAGGTAATTAATTAAATTTACTCCCTCATAGACACTAATAGGTAGGTACAGTACCTTCAACCATCATTAGATGGCGAAGCCGGCAGCCCTCACTTGCTGCCACCTACTTAACATACAATTCTGCAGATACCCATTTAGAAAGTTTTCCAAACTGGTTCATTTTTTTTTAGATTTTGTTTCTGTACATAGAGTTTAATGTTTACTACAGTCATTTATATATCTAGACATTGCTTTCTGATGCTTCTGCTTTGCTCATCATTCTCTTGTCACAGGGTGCATTTTCAAGCCTTGTCTTGGGACTGGGATAAAGTTGATTCACAGCTGATGCTTGCTCATCAAGGGCTCATTCATGCTTGCAATAATCAAATTTTTTATTCATGATCAGATCATATACTCAAGGTGGGCATCCAAAGGTCCATCTAAGCTTCTAAATCTAAATCTGAAGCTAGACTATTCATTATATAATTATAATGATAACATGTTATGATATTACGATAACTTTATCTCTTATGTAAATAATGTGATGAGATTTTGTATAAACTAAGTCATCTATAAATATACATTCATTAAGTAATAAAAATTTTAGTTGATTGATTACCAACTGCACTGTACTTCACACTGTAAAGTGCTTCACACTTTATTATAGTCTATTTATACTCTCTCATTGTTCTCTCATGGCAACAAGTTCATTTCCCTTGAGGTCACTCTGAATTATGTTGTGTTTAATACCAATAAAACAATTAGTATTATTAACTTTAAGGTAACTATTGCCAATTATCAGCTCTATTTTAAACTTTTATCTTGAGCCTCTATACAGCATTCATATCCTAAGCATTTAACAATTTCCAGAAATCTAGAGTAAAAGTGAGGGTGTGTGAATCTAGCCCTAAATTATTTTGTAAAGCATTTGGTTTGCATGCACTGGCCTGTACCTGTACCTGTACTTAGATTTATGTTAATATAATTCAGACGCCAGAACGAATCTCCACCGAACTATAAGCGTCACACGCCACGGAAGCCCTACAGTCGACGTCATCGCATTGCACATCCAAGTGAAACATCAAAGGTAATGCATACTTCTTTGAAGATAAAGAATCTTTTCAAGGTAGAAAACATTCTAAAATTATATTTTATATTTAAATTTCATGAAAATTATTAGTATTTGATTTAGAATTGTAGTTGTGTATTTTTATCAAGTACAGTATCCACTCAATTTAATGACCTAAATCCACATGATCATTGAATCTTAGGTTGTTAAATGTCGGTGATACTTTTAAAAGTTTTTAGCCCCCAAAATATTGTTTCCTAAAGGATTTTATATCCACCCACCAACACACACACACACACACTTGTCTCTCTCCCACCCACACACACTTGTCCATAAACTCACACAGGCACACTCGTCCCTCCCTCTCTCCCTCCCTTAATACAAAGAAACACTAGTACATTCCCACAGTCACTCTTGGGGGAAACACTGGTACATTCCTACAATTACCCTAAGGAAACACTGGTGCATTCACACACCTGTTGCATGAAAATGTTGTGGAAAGCATTTGCCTATTGAGGGTCAAATTGTCACAAAAAAAACAATAATGTTTACCTAGTGGTGAGCTCAGTAAATTCAGAGCAACCATAATATGCCTTTCATGGACATTGACTTTGTAAATAAGTATCTAATTGCTAACCTCAATCTGGCTGTTAAATCCTGAAGGGCACTACATCACGGCTTCTTCAATCGGGTGGATACTGTACATGCAGTGCTGTAATTGGTTTCATGTGAGATACTTTGGGTGGGAGTTTTACATTGTAATACCAGGACACTAGTAGTGGAAGCTCTTATGCATGTGAGAAAGAGGGTGTCACCCTCTATAATAATAATGAAAAATAACAAATGAATTAGTGGGATTTAATGGCTTTAGTCACTAATATTTACTCCAGAACTTGCTAATTATTTAAGTGTACAAAACTATATATTTAAATTTATAAGCTATACAAAGCAATTAGGTTAAACAGTTAATAATTATGATTGTTTATTGTTAATACCCATTACTGATTTAATTTCTTACTCTCCTATCATTAAAACAGATGTTGAAGGAGGTGCAAGAGATGAAGACTTCCGCCATGGATACCTCTCTCTTTTCTCCTGTATATTCAGTGGACTCCACTCCACCACCTCTCTCAACGTCTCTCACGAGCCCTGCTGTTGGGAGAGATTTTACTAGGGGCCTCATTGATGAAGATTACCCTGTGCAGAAGGGCCAGGAAGAATTGGAAGAGGTTGAAGATGATGAAGACGGCCAAGGAAGAACATGCCAGGAGGACACTTTGAGTGCCCCAGATTTAACACAACTTTCTACTCGTATTCAGTTAGATATTCCACACATCCTAGATCCTCCTATGCCGAATTCTCCACAAGGTGAAATTCATAAAGCTTTGTTGTTCATTTCTATACAATTTTTGTTGAGTGATTTTGTTGTGTTATTTCTTAGTTAAGGTTGTGTTTTCAATAATGTTTATAAAGGTGCCTTGCATAAAATATTATAAAAGGAACAAGCATTAAGTATAATAATGCCTCTTTCTGGTGGGTCATTTGGTAGCATCCACAGCTATCCTCCTGGCAAGCTGACACATGCTTAAGAACTGCACCAGGTTCTATCAGTTCATGAGTGCTTGCTGAGTACTAGGACCAGAATCTGACCACTCATTAGAGGCAAAGTAGTCTGGAGATCTAGGATCTAACACAGTACCCAAGAGAGAAACCATTAGACAGATAGAGTGCACAAATAGACAACTGAATGGTAACCATTGGCAGTGCTCTCCCTAACTATGTAAACAATTGTTACCCTGATCGAACCACTGGTTTGTCACTTATGCTGCAGCACCGGTCACTAACAGTTTCTGGACATCTCTCATTCTCACACAGCCCAGTTGTACAATTCTCAATTATGAATTAGAAACAAGGAGTTACCGAATGATCTCCCAGAAAGTGGAATTTCATTACATTTTTAATGCTGGTTTTCTTGGATAGGCCCTTTTGGTAACCCTTCAAGTTGATACCCTAAAGCGGGAAAAAAAAAATCACCCCAGGCTTATGATGAGAAACTAATACCATACTCAAAGGAATCAACTGCAGGTCAACCCACCCAGTATAACACAAGCCCAACTTTGGCAAGGAATATTGATGAGATATTAAGCTACAAGCACTATCAACCTTAGCACTGCACATAACATCCCCATGGTGTGCTTAGCATCCAAAGATGTTTGTAGGTATTGCCCCATGGGTACACGGGGCTCGCATCCATTGGCTAAGGTAACACTAGGCAGACACCATCTTGGAAAATAATCGTGGGAGGTCGCCTTGGCTACAAACTAGTAGTATTTGCCAAAATAGCTTGAGCTTTTAACTGTCTTGTGGCTTGGTAGCGAGATAGCTTTGGGGAGCCACTGGGGCTCTACCAGAAAAAAAAAAAGAGGCATTTCATTACAGTTAATGCTGGATCTTTTACTTTAGAACTTGAGCTAACTGGCAAAAAAGTTAACTGGCTGGGTTTTTTTCCAGTACTGGAGCCAGAGGAAGCAGAGATGATGATTGCTCAGGTCTCCCAATGTGCAACCCAGGAGAATAAGGAAAATTATGAGGTCAGTCAATGTGAATTGTTTGTCTCGTGTTTTTACTTTTCATTGTCCTTCAGATGAGTGTGTATATGAAGTAGCAGAAAAGCTTTGTTTGTTTCTTTCCTTGTTTCCAAATTAGTAAGTTTTCCAAAAATAATTGTTTGAAATATATATATACAGTATAGTGTTATTTCTTGCACAATGCTAGGTGAACATTTAAAAATCTCTACCTAGAACAGTGATAAAATCTTTTGTCAAACAATGCAGCACAAACAATTCCTTGCCCAGTGACAGAATAAACTATTACTTTTTTTTATTTCCAAATTGTTAATTTATAATAATAATAATAATTTCAAACTGGAATTGAGAGTAGCATCAATGAATACCGTGAACCAACTTTTGCACAATATTTGTCCATCCATTATGAAAGTGTGTGTTCACTCCTTGCTAAGGTGAAATACGGTAACAATGATGCATTACTTTATGTTCTATTTCCTGTGTGTCTTCCCAATTACCATAAATCTTCTAAGTATAATAAATAGTTAAATAAGACTGAAGTTTATATGTACTATACTGCCTTTTTTGTAAAGTAAAAAAACAAAAACTGACAAAATGTGTTTAATCCCACAGGCTGGAGGGACATATGAAAGTTCATGCGATGAAGGCTATGAAGAATGGGAGGCTTTTGATCCATACTTCTTCATCAAACATCTTCCACCACTAACACCTGAAATGAGGGCAAGAAATCCTGCTCTTCCTTTGAAGACTCGCAGTTCGCCAGAGTTTACCTTGGTTTTAGATCTGGTAAGAGGATATTTTATGGTTAATATGAAAGCAAAAATGAAAAAAGTCTTTTCAGAGAAAAATGTGGTATACAAAATACAAAAGTTTTCGGTTCTCAGTTTAGTTACACTTCCCAGAATTGTACTCTTACATTAAGCAAATGTTGTGCATGGAATAAATTATACTTGAATATTATGTAAGATTATCAGGAAACTTACAGTACAGTAAGTACAGTAAATCTTGTATTATATTGCATGGTTAGGGCTAAAATACTTTACAGATGCACTTGACTCGTTTTTGTGCTACTGTGCAGTTTTTGAGTTATGAAAACTTACATAGATTTAAAACAATTAAATTCACTTAGATATTTGAGCTATACTATCCAGTTTCTCCTTTATGCAATATGCTGCTCTTTCCAAGGACAGAACCAAATGCAGCTAATTATGTTGACATTACAACAAGCACAATGGGGATCTTTCCAAATCACCCACTGGGGCATACTGTAGCAAGGAAGATACTGGAGAATTCTACCTAGCCCCAGAATTATTTTTGTAATGTTCTTTTTATTTATACTCGAAACCCCCTTCAAGTTCTACTCTGTATCACAATGGCCACTTATTATTATTATTATTAACATCTTTATTGACAAAATTAATTACAATTTTGCCTAATCTGAGGATTTTGCTTAAGTCTTATTAAAGTGAGGATAATGCTGGTATTCACTGTCATGCAGGACAGAGGGTCATACACAAGACAATAGGTCTAAACTGTAGGCAGAAGCACATATATATCATGGTTACAATCAATGTTTTAATGTATGGATATGTGAAAACAACTTTCTATTGTGCACTGCCACACAAGGGCAGCATTGCTAACTATTGGCTGACTTGCTGATCACTACCTACAACTTCCATAAAATGCCAATGCCTAAATATCAGCAGAGTAGCAAAGAACTTTCTATCACACATTTTTCATGTCTCTTTCTGCCCAAACACCTAGCTATCTACAACCGAGATTTCTGATTGACTTGTGTTTACCCTATGAAACTTATTAATTTACTCAGTGGGTGCATGCTATTAGTGAATACTATCATGTGCATTGTTACAGTTGTTTGTATATGTGTGTGTGTCTGGATTTTTTCATCAACTGGTTTTGCTGTTATCTTCTCTGTCCTGGTTTGCTTGATGCCCGAGTGTGGTCATTCTCCTCTTGCGCTTGTCCACTACTTTCATAGTTCCTTAGAGCGTTGTCTCAGGATGAGCTATCAATGCCAGGTATACACAATTTTTGTGTCAGCTTTCACATGTGAGTGGTTGCATATTTGTTTGTTACCTGGATCTTATTGTTCTTGTTGTGCATCTTGCATTTCTTTATTTTTGCTTAGGTCAAGGGGTTGCTCTCATCCATTCTTGTTTGTGACATGCCAAGGTAAGGAGACGGGACACAGTACACAAGTAATCTTGTGTACCGTGTCTGAGGTACTGGATGAGAAGGCATCCTAGTTTCCAAATGACCTTTTGATTAAAATGACCAAGTAAGGTGACTTATGTCTCTAGTTAGGGGGTTTTTGTGCCTTGCAACTCATTTTGAATATGACGCTGCCACACAACATGCCTGTGATGGGCGATGGTATTTTGGTGCATCTCAACATTCTTTCAATTCTGCCATCATGTGGCTGTCACCTGCCTTCCTTCCTCATTCATTCAGTCAGCAAAGGCTTTCTTATTTCATTATTTTGACGTGGGGATGAATTGTTGTAAATGACCAGCACTATTCTTTGGTTGCCCCATATTGTCTTTATTTTTTTTTATCCCTGCTGTTTTCGCCTCATAACAGGTCAGTTGCTGAGTACATATGTACTTCCTGGTTTTGAGAAGAGTTTCTAAGAGGGAATTTAGCACTAAATCTAGTGGATAACAGGTGGTAGGGCTCTTTCTCCGATGCTTTCATGCTATGTTTAATATTTATTATGATGTGGCCTGGCAGGCACTTCTAAAGTACACAACTGTGTACGGCACTCCACTATTTTTCCTATCACTGTCCCTATTTTTATATTTCTCCTGACTTGGTTATTCCCAGAGCCCAACACAATCACATATCAGACTACTCTTACAAAGCCTCATCGTCTTGTGCAGATGACAATGAGTCACAATAACGTGACTGAAGACGTAAAGACCAAACCACATCAGAACGTGAAGAAACAAAAATGAGTTTCTTCACTTTCTGATGTGTGGTTTGGTCATCGCCACACCTTGTCTTTGGCTTTCATCTCTCTTCCCCAGTTATTAAACTTAATTTGGTCATGTTTGGCTATATTAATCTCTGTTTATTAGAAGAGCAGGCCATGTCTAAGTCAGCAGTTAAGTGGTCTGGTCAGAAAGGAGTTTTTCATCTGTACTCAGTCCCTTGTTTTTTAACCTTGCTGTATATTGCTAGTTAAAAAATTAAATAATGTGCCATATTTTTTCCAGTCCACAGCTTGGTAATCCATTTTGCATGATAGCTATGTCTTTTCCAATATCTTCAACCTCCAGTCAGTGTTGAGTGAGCAAATTTGCCTTTACAGTACCCTATTACACACAAAAATGTAGCAAGGCTTGGTGCTCCAATTCACTTGCTTTATTTGGTTAAAGAGAATAGAAGTTTATGTTGTAAACTTACCAAGTTATTCTTTTAAAGAAACAGTAATCTTTGACCCTCAGGATGAGACACTGGTGCACTGTAGTCTTCAGGAGCTGGAAGATGCAACACTAAGCTTCCCAGTGGTTTTTCAAGATGTGAATTATCAAGTGTTTGTACGTACCCGCCCATACTTTCGGGAATTCTTGGAGCATGTGTCTCACTTGTATGAGGTTATCTTGTTCACTGCCAGTAAGAAGGTTTATGCGGACAAACTCATGAACCTACTTGACCCTCAGCGCAAGTGGATCAAGTTAGTATGCTATTTATTTTCTTGCTCACTGTATTTAGTTTTTATCTTTATCATAACATGCTTTCTACTATCAGTATTGATGACAAGTAACTATCAAAAGAAAGTGCCAAACCTGGAAGGTTATATAGAACCATGTGTGTTGCAGAAATATTCAATAGTTCCTAGATATCATTCAGGATGCCAACATGAGAGCAGAAAGATAAAAGACCACTGTTAAAGGAATCAGATTCACAGGGATCTCATTGAGGGACATATGACTGAAAGGAACAAAGAACACAAAATTTTCAACCATCCTTAAAATAAAAACATTCTGTAAGGAGCTGTTAGCAAAACAATGAAGTTCTGATAGTAAGGTGTAGGTCCTTGATCTATTAAGTACCCATGAGTTAATGATGTGTGTGTGAACAATAGGTAATATAGCCAGAGATTTTCCCACTTCCTGTTTTAGTGATACAAGGAAAGCTTTGGAAATTGACACAATTTGGATTAGATGTAATTTATTCATAATAGCCATCCAGATATAAATGACAGGATAGAAATCCAAGTACAGAATTCACTGCTGGGAGATGGATGGGATAGGCATGAACAGCTTCTTTACTGATGGCATCTGGTAATTAGAGGCTCCAAGTGAACAATAAATCAAAGTTCACAAAAAGTGAAACTTGAAATGTATGCATGTGTAGCAAATACTTAAATTTAAAACGAGTACATAAGTAAAGGGGCCCTGCAGAACAGAATCAAAGGATGGCTGTCACTTATCTAAATAACTGAGACTCGAAGAGCATTAGTAAGACTGAGGACTGTACGTGCAACATGTTGATGTGTTGCACCAGGCTAAAAGACTGGCATGTCAGCTGAGGGTTGAGTTGCCAGGTGCACGACCAGCTGGTGGTGCACAGCTGCTACTAGAGAGTGAATTGCCTCACAACAGGGCAAATCATTTCAGGGGTCTCATTTCCTGAAGCTACTATCACTAATAGTGTGCCATTTACTAGGTCACATCAGCTGTGGAGTTCTATTGGCCTATTGGAGACCAGCACCAGAACCTGGCTCGTTCGCAGTGGTGCAGGGAACAGTGGCAATTATTAATTTATTTATGCCACTACTGAGGAAGCAATCGAAAAATCAGTGAGAAAAAACAGACCGCTGCTGGCTGGAGTAGAGACTGCAGTCTTGAGAACAGTCAAAAGAACTCCTCCAACTATGTAAATGATAAAAATTTCCTAACTCATATAAGTTCGTTCACCCCATTTCCCCCACTCATTTGGGGTGAGGAGGGAGACAGCTCGTGGTCAACCAGATACTCCATCCTTAGTTCTATGCTGATGTGTAATGTGTGCCTGGTCGCCTCTTTGCTGCTATGGTTCCAGTGCTACAACTTGGTGGTGGATTTTGCTCTTGTGGCTGGCCATGTACACTGTGGTATAGCATGAGCCAGGAGTTAAGGAGTGCTTAGACCTGTATATGCACTGAGCTCTCTTCCTTGTGTGTTCCCCTAGTGCCACCCTTGCATGTCTGGGTTCTCATCCCCAGTGTATTTGGGGTCGCTCCCGTAAGAGATCGCCTCGTTTGTGGTGGCCCTCGCCGAGGGTGGGTTGGGTGTCTTCTTTTTTTCCTGCCTTTACTCGGTCAGGAGTGACAATGATTGGCTTAGACTTCACAGCCATATGAGCAGCTACTGCATTGGCTTATTGCGTCGTCTCTATATCCATATTCAATATACAGAGCATTCATGTGACTCCTTCCATTTGAGGTCTGGTGTAGCATCCAAGTGCCTATTGTTCTGCTTGATCAATTCCTTCAGCTCCCGGAAATCTCCTGCAGGTTTGGTGGTCCCATGGATATCGCCACCAATCTTGCTCTTCCCTTGTGCAAGCTTCAGGGTTGCTTGTTGTCCATTCCATGTGATGGCGTTCAGTCAGTCTGCCTCTTCCGTGCTGCTTGTTGGGTTTGCCCAAGTCCTGTTGGGGTTTGCTCTCCCTTGACAGGATTTCCCAGGCAGTGATCACTTTGTGTCTTGGTTTTTTTTGCGTTGTAGCAGTCTGGGTTGTGCCCAGTTGGTGGTTAGGGAACTGGAATTTGGGGTGCTTGATAACTTCTGCCTAGTTCAGTTCACACCTCCTCTTCCTTCCCTTTAGTTGTGGTTTGCCCATCTTTTGTTTTCCCATCATTTCCAACCTGTGAACATTTGAGGGTTTCCTGATCGGGGCAGGATTTATCTTGGGATGTGGCTCCTGGGGTTGCCCCTTCCAATTCAGGCATGGAGGCAGTTGAGCCTGCTTGTCCTGCCAAGGCTTCTAGGTACTCTTTTTCAGCCAGCCTCTCCTTTGGAAGTCTTTTTCCCTTGGACTGCGCTTTTCTATCAAGGATGGTGGATGCAAATGCAAGCTCTGCCTTAGGGCCCTTGTCTGTCGCTTCCGGGGCGTGGGGTGAATTGGGTGTGTGACCCTGGGTCCTGTTCAGCTCTTTGGTTCCTTTGGTTCTGGGTGCATGGGTGTTCATAACACCTCCCCCCATGTCCTTCTGCTTTGAGTACTGCTCCTCTTTGTGGTTCGGTCCCGCATCCCTTGGCCTTGTCGGGATTGTCTTTCCGGAGGTTTCTGCCTCTCGGGTCCCTCCTCCAGTGGTTCATGTGGTGCTTTTTCCATTCCTCCTCCATGACCCAGTTTCTCCATGACCTCTTTGGAGCTAGACACTACATGTATCTCTTCTACTGGGTTCTTGCGATTTGGGCTGTCCCGTCTCTGGTTGCTGGGTGGGAGAGCTTCATGCTCTCCTCCTACATCGGTGTATCAGGGCTTTTGTTCTTTTGGTCCTGTGGGTGGGTAGGTGGTTTGTTTGTAGCCAGCTCCTTTTCTGGTGAAGAATGAGTTGGTTGGTGAATTTTTTATTATTTGTTTACGTTGATGGGGGAGTTCCCTTGGCAGTTTTCGAGGCTGTGGTCCAACATGTAATCAGCAGGGGGTCTGTTTTGGTTTAGTTTGATGTACTGGGTGCTTTCCTGGTGGTGGCAGCCATGAATAAATTCATATTGATTTTATCAGAGTGCCACTGCTCCCTGCACCTCTGTGGAGGGGCCAGGTCTTGACTCATGGTCTGAGGTAGGCCTAAAAGAACTCTGCAAATGATGGCACCTAGTAATTTGATATACTATCAGAGATAGCAGCTTCAGTGAGCCACCGGAGCTCACCCAGAAATTGGCATTTCATTACATTCTTCGCTGGTTTTCTCAAATTCATCCCTTGCTTAAATTAATGACAACCCTGATTAATTACTAGCACCTTGTAAGCTTCGAATATTTTTCTCTTAACTAATGCTGCAAAATTTGTTAATTTCCACATATTAATAAACAGCCCAACTTGTTGAATCAGGAATCTAGAATTAAAATGAAATGTTTTGGCAATTTATCTTGTTTATAACTTGAATTTTGAATACTGTAATTAAATTATAATATTTAGGTAATTACTAGCTTGATATTAAGTTTTAAATACCATAATTTTCTCAAAATTACAAAAAAATATTTCTCTAAAGGTATCGATTATTCCGTGAGCACTGTGTGTGTGTTCAAGGCAACTATGTGAAGGATCTTACAATACTCGGCAGAGACCTCTCAAAGACGATAATTGTAGATAATTCTCCCCAAGCTTTTGGTTACCAGGTAAGCCGTCAATATCACTTTGTATTTTTTTTATTAACATGTGAAGTTGGTTCTTCGTGCGAAAATCAGTAGAAGCCATGATGAGGATTTGAACCTCATCAAACAACATGGTAGGTTTTTAATGATGCATAATGCCGAATGTGACTTGATGTGTGTGTGTGTGTAGCTAACCTGGCAGCTGTCAATAGGGAGCCATTGTGGAGAGAGAAAGAACTATGAGGGGTAAGCACCAAGCCCTTACGACTATATAGCACTTGGAAGAACTCAGGATAAGGATTAGGGATGGGACGGGGGGAAGGAATGGTGCCCAACCACTTGGATGGTCGGGGATTGAACGCCGATCTGCATGAAGCGAGACCGTCGCTCTACCGTCCAGCCATCCCAGAAAATAAATCTATAATTTCAATGACATTTTATAGGTCATAATAGACTTTAATAAAAACTTAAGTGTACCATGATATATCTATTTGTAAATGTTCACAATCAATTTGTTGTTTTGAGGTTATTATTAATGTTTTAAAGTTAATTATTTGTCTTAATGTGGCCCAAATGTATCTTCAAGCAAATGATAAAAAAAAAATTGGATGGCTAGCATCTAAATTATGTACTGCATGCCTAAAATTTACTGATTCCTGGGATATTTTCCAGCTCACTGTTAATGCAAATTAATTTACACAATTCTTCTAACTAAGCCTAAGTTAATGTTCTAATTTTTGAGAAATAAATGTTTGTACATTAAACATTGTGTACTCGGTTAACATTCCTACACCATAAATAACATCTACTTTAATGTAGATGCATTATGGTGGAGGAGACTGAATATAATTACTTTATGATCAAAACACTCAGGGCCTGAAACTTCATGCATAGCTCTCTCTTTCCTGGAATTAAGCATCTTGGAAGAAGGACAACACTTGTCAGTCAGTCTTCCATAATTTTCTCTCTCATTACCTTGGCATTCTTGATAAATGTTCAAATAACTCTTGGGATTTTCTAATCCATTATGACATTATCACAAATAATTCCAGCACAAAATGTTTAGTTAGGGATGAGACACTCACTTGAAATTACAGCAGCAAAAATGCGGGTTTAAGTGGTGGATGGTGTGGTAGGTAGAGGTGATTGCTGGTTGATCCTAATACCCAGTACAGTATATGGGCATTTCAGCTGATACACTTCAGTCATCATATTAATTACAGTACTGGATAACCATGGATGAGGCAAAATGCTTCACTGTACCGTTATAGAGTTAATCTAGTAATGGTAATGTCTTCTCAGACATAACAACATAGGATAAAACCCACACTTGTGTATGTGTGAAATTTATGGAAGGAATTTACACCAAGACTCTCATTCTCCTGAGTGTTTTATCACACATTCAGACCTTGATAAAGCACTCAGGAGAGTGTGAAAGACTTGGTGTAAATTCCTCACATAAATTTCACCTATGCACAAATGTGGATTTTATCCTATAGAGTTAATTATATGTAGGCTTGTAACTTTATTGATAGCTAATAATAATGTTTTGTTTTTCACGTCTTATTATCTTCTTCATCATTACCCTGTAATTCACAACTAACATCTTGGGATCGTGTTTATTTATGACAATATGTTTCACCAGATCAACAATGGCATTCCCATAGAGAGCTGGTTTGTTGATAAGGAGGATCGGGAGCTGGAAAAGCTTGTACCATTCCTAGAGTCGTTGGTGGATAAGGACGATGTGCGACCCTTCATCCGTGAGAAGTACAAATTGGAGACATACTTGCCACCAGATTAGACTCCAGAGAACTCTTGGTGTGGAGCACATTTTTTTAATTGACAGGAGCAATAGTAATGGGAAGAAAACCAAAAAGTATTCTGGTTCAAGTACTCTCTTAATCTTTCAGTAAAACAATCTCTCAATCTGTCTAGTACACTTACTTTTTGTTAGGCTCTTGTAATGGCCTAAGTGATGAGACAGGACAATATTTAACTGATATAATGTGAATGTGTGAACCAGTGGGACTAAAGTGTTAGATTTTGGCATTTGAAAGATTAAACTTTAAGGGCTGCATTGACCTTGAAAGTGATATTACATATGTTGACAAAGAGGTTTTGCATGAAAAATAAAAGAGCAATGTAATAGTTTGAAAAACTTTAAACTTAAGAGTTAGCATCAAAGTATGAACAGTTTTACAAATAAAAGTGTAGTATATGGTGATCAACAGGCATGAAAAGTTCAAAGTACCCTCTGAAAAGTTAAATTGCTCCTGTTGGACAATATTCCCACAGCTGCTCTTAGAATAAGATGCAGTAATGGGTGTTCTCCACACAAGACGTATCAGAATTATAGTGTAAATCATTGAATGCATGTTGAAGATTGACTGAGTAATCTGTGGATTAAGGAAGAATATATTTTGATTGTTTAAATTGTACTGGTATAAATTAAATTTGACTTCATTCAACATACTAAAATTCAATTCTGTGGGAGCCACCCCCAGTAGCTCCCCGAAGCTATCTTTCCCAGATTGCTCCATACATTGTTACTTTATCAGTTTTGTTACTTTTGGTTTATCAGGTCTCATCAGTTTTGGAAGTTCTCTTTGGCCTACAGAATGTGGCCCACCTCACAGAGACGCAAGTGCAAGTGCACCTCAGGGAGCAAGTGACAATTCCCCACAGTTACGACACAAGCAGGGCTAATAAACCTATGTTCCTCTCTTATTTAGTTACAGTAGGAACTACACTTCAGCTTCAGCTTCACTTCAAACTAGCTTCAGCTAGTTTGTCTAGAGTAAGGGGAAAACTTTATTTGTTTACATGCCAGGAGCAAAGGTCATATACATACATGAACTATAATTAGTATTTACAATATCTACAGGTTAAAAAAACTAAGAATAACAACTGTGCACTTGACCACAGCTAGATACACTTTAGACTATTACACATACTAAGTCTCTCAGAGCATCAACAACTTTCAAGCCAATTTGACCATTGACAAATATCTAGTCCAAGTCACCATGGACACAAGCAAAACTCTAGATTCACTGAGGTCCATATAATAATCATAATTTTACTTTACCACCGGTCACAGTTTGACCAGCAGAATACTCTGTATTTATATATATCCCTGTTCTTGTATTATGACTAGTAACCAAGCTCTTGGGAGTAGGGGAGTCTGCTAGGCAGGGGCCGGGTTCTTTGTGATGGCAATTGATACTAATGATTTTCGAATTAATTTGCGATATCCCTTGTTCCGTGTGAATCGTTTACGGAGTTATTTGGCAGTCTTGAAGCTTCATTTTTGTGAAGCCTCCAGTTGTCTCTTAAACTCGGCCCATCTTCCTGTTTTGGTAGTACTTATGGTAACGATGAGGATCATAGTACATATACCAACGTGCAATGAAATTAGAACGTAGAAATCTAAACTATTGAGTTGGACAAACCAAAAGCTATTTTTTACTTGTGTTGCTTTGACAAACTAAATCAACCCATCCTAACCTCCCTAGGCCTAATGCACGATATCTGAGGCCTAATATGTATGTGTATAACATGTGTGCGCTATACTAGGCCTAGGAATATTTAAATGTGTTTTATCCTCGTTTATTTTAAAAGAATTCCTTACAAGTCAGTATACTACTATCTAAAAGCCAAGTACTGTACGTACAAATTTGTGACAATTGACTATCATCACAATAAGTACTATCTAAACAGGAGGATGGGTTGCTTAAATTTTGCTGACTTTCTGGATGCTTTCCCATTGGGGTGGCAAATTGTCACTTGTTCCCTGCACTTCTGTGAGATGGGCCAGGTTCTGGTTCTGGTCCCCATTAGGCCAAACAAAACTTCCATGACTGTGACCTTTAAGTACAATATGAATCAAGAATCAATATCAGCAAGATTGCTTCAGGGAGCCACCGGGGCTCTACTAGAAAGAGGCATTTCATTACATTCAACGCTGACTTTTTTTCCTGATTACACAAAAAATAAATTGTATTAGAATATATATATATAAATACTGTAGATCTTATTTTTATTTCCGATAAGGTGGGAAATGATAGACAATGAAATTTATTGAATGATTAATTTATGCTATTTTCCTCAAAAATTTCAGAATATTTTTCTTTAATGATCTTTACTTTGCTACTAGATTAGTGTGAGCAATTCCTCTAAACAACATTAGCAGAAGCTAAGAGGTAGACACTAAAGCAAGTGAGATCTCATTAAGCATTTTTTTTTTTTTTAAGCGCAACAAATGTAATCCACATAGCAGGCTATGTTATTCAGTTGAACATAGATTGTTACTAGCAAAAAGAAATGAGGGGCTTTAAAATGGTCATTTGTCCTTTTGTTTATGCACTATTTCTTTGAAATGGCAGTTTTCAGGTAATAGTGGAGATGAGAAATAAATGAATAGCTGTAATGGAGAGAAAGACCTTTGAAGTTAATGTTAATTGGAGTATGAATGAAATACCAAGTAAGAGACATTCACCTTGTGACACGTCTCACAGCTGCAGGAAGTTGGCCAGAATCCCCATCAACAAATATTCATATTCTCACAACACAACTTGCATAATTTGTTATTGAGTGAAAGTTAATTAATGTTTTAAATTCACTTTTTAAGTTGTACAACAATTTGCTGATAAAAATGTGGAATTATTATTTTAAATAGATAGTTCAGTTTTTGCACAATTTTTTGTCTTCTCAGTATGCTTGTGAGGAAGAGGAACCCACAGTGGCAATTTGTTGTTTGAAGAGCTTGCCCAGTGCAATGTTGCAACAAGTTGTGTGCACTAGGAGCAGCCTGTGATAAACATGAATATCTCAAGTTGTTGGAGGAATACAAATCTATTTAAGGTTTTTCTCTGTATGTATGTCTTATTGTTCTACAGTGTACAAAGAAGGTAGAGTCTCATTTTTAGTTCATATTTTAGTTTAAACCATTTGTAAATTTTATTTAAAAGGAGTTTGCTTCATATAAAATTTCTTATGTTATTTATAAAGCACAAATTAATTTTAACTGTACAGTAGAGTTATACTGAGAGAGGTTCTGTCTTGGAAGCAGATTCTTTTATGTATTCTTGTATATAGTATGAAGAAACACAGGGAGAGTTGAACACAACATGATCGGAAATGTTCAAGGTACAACAAGTACACGCGTCATTACCTACAATACATACAACACCGGCACTCATTTTGTCCAATGTCAAATTGTAATTTTAAACTGTATCTCAAGTGATTGTACAGTGATATAGTAAACATTTTGCATAATTTAAAAGTAGAAGTGAATGTTTCCTTTTATATGGGTCAATTGGTTGTCTTGCCTAATGTTACCAAACATTGCATAAATATATAACTAAAATTTGTAATAAATTATGAAATTGCAATATATCGGTAAGTCTGGCTGTCACAAAATTTGCCACCCTCTCTTGAGCAAAAAATTCATAATTTTTACTTTAGGTCTAGTATTTAATAAAAAAATAAATTAAAAAGTATAAAAAACACAAACATATATATATATATATATAATTACACACAAATGCACTATATTTAATTGAAAAGGCCTATAGTTCACACAGCAATTTGGAGGATAGTTAAACCTTAAAGCATTAAAAATACATACACTGTATTCGGATTTGTCACTTGAATTGTATTATTAAGTGTAACAGAGATTTAATTTGTTTAAATTGAATACCGTGAAAACCTGATTTGGAGTCAAAAATAAAAAATATAAAGGTAAAATTGACAAGTCAAAAGCTAGTTGATGTTGCTGCATTGAAAAATTGAGCAATATTTGTTAAAGATGGCAATGCTTTGGTAAAACATTTGCAAATGTTGATTTTCACCTTTGGTGAAAATATAGTTGGCAGGAAGGATAATTATATTTACAGTAGGTTTGTCGTGTCAAATTTATTTTAAGTATAATGACAACTCTATAGCCAACTGCAAATTTATTGCCAAACTGATATTTATATGTATAATTTTCTTATGCAAATATTAACAGTATTTTATTCAAGATTAAGTGGCACTGTACCATAATGCAAACCTTATTTACAACTTTCTGAAGGTTGGGTTTTATGTGACTGATGTTATTTGTACTAGTTGAGCTGTGTTACTTTTTGGCTACTGTGCTGCATAGAAAAAACCTGTTGTACTAAAACATAATCTTTGCTATAAACAGTATTTGTATTAGTATACAAAAACTGAGCACAACTTGTATCTGCTCAATTGGTCAATGGCAACAGGCCAGTCAACCCAGGAAACATTGTGTTCAATTTATGAGTTTAAGCACTATTTAGTTTGGTTAAATTAGATTTGGTGAAACATGGGTAAGTAATTATAAAAAAAAAAAGGCGCCAAGCTTAGAAAACTGTAGCTGGAGCATCAGTTGTTGACTCCACCTTCACCATTTTTCTCCTCGTATAAGAAAACATTTTGTAAATAATACCGGTGTTCTTATTGCCATTTGCTTGGTCGATTGGTCAGTGAAATTATTGTGTGGATTTATATTGACTAAAAGTGGCCAATTGTATCACTTTGTGATTATTTAATTCTGGTCATTTTAATTTGGTGTGCATTTTATTTGTAAATAACAAATATAAAACTAATTATTTGTGTCCATGAATGTCACTATAATAATTATCTGCATTTAAAATGTGGTAGATTATGAAAAAAATTAAAACATTTATTATACTGATTTTTTTTAATGTCAAGATTGTTATGTTCCTACACTAGAAATATTGCAGTTGCAACAGATTTGATTACTTTTATATTATATATCAAGTATTTATATACACACAGTATATATTTTCT